TCAATCCATAATACTGGAATATTAAATGTAAATAGCAGAGGATTTATATGCAATGGTGATGTATCTGGTAGGCTAATGTTTACCCAGATGCCATAGACCCAGTCCTTATCCCTAGCCTCAATCCATAATACTGGAATATTAAATGTAAATAGCAGAGAGGATTTATAAGCAATGGTGATGTATCTGGTAGGCTAATGTTTACCCAGATGCCATAGACTCCTCAATCCTTATCCCTAGCCTCAATCCATAATACTGGAATATTAAATGTAAATAGCATGGTGATGGATTTATAAAGCAATGGTGATGTATCTGGTCAATCCATAATACTGAATATTAACCCAAATGATTTATAGAATGGTGATGTATCTGGTAGGCTAATGTTTATCCCTAGCCTCAATCCATAATACTGGAATATTAAATGTAAATAGCAGAGGATTTATAAGCAATGGTGATGTATCTGGTAGGCTAATGTTTACCCAGATGCCATAGACTCCTCAATCCTTATCCCTAGCCTCAATCCATAATACTGGAATATTAAATGTAAATAGCAGAGGGATTTATAAGCAATGGTGATGTATCTGGTAGGCTAATGTTTACCCAGATGCCATAGACTCCCAGTCCTTATCCCTAGCCTCAATCCATAATACTGGAATATTAAATGTAAATATAGAGGGATTTATTCAGATGTATGGTGATGTATCCCTGGCCTCAATCCATAGGAATATTAAATGTTTTATAAGCAATGGTGATGTATCAGCTAATGCCATAGACTCCCAGTCCTTATCCCTAGCCTCAATCCATAATACTGGAATATTAAATGTAAATAGCAGAGGGATTTATAAGCAATGGTGATGTATCTGGTAGGCTAATGTTTACCCAGATGCCATAGACCCCAGTCCTTATCCCTAGCAGAGGGTTCAATCCATAATACTGGAATATTAAATGTAAATAGCAGAGGGATTTATAAGCAATGGTGATGTATCTGGTAGGCTAATGTTTACCAAAAGATGCCATAGACCTCAGTCCTTATCCCTAGCCTCAATCCATAATACTGGAATATTAAATGTAAATAGCAGAGGGATTTATAAGCAATGGTGATGTATCTGGTAGGCTAATGTTTACCCAGATGCCATAGACTCCCAGTCCTTATCCCTAGCCTCAATCCATAATACTGAATATTAAATGTAAATAGCAGAGGGATTTATAGTTATGGTGATGTATCTGGTAGGCTAATGTTTACCAAGATGCCATAGACTCCCAGTCCTTGTCCCTAGCCTCAATCCATAATACTGGAATATTAAATGTCCCAATGGTGATGTATCTGGTAGGCTAATGTTACCCAGATGCCATAGACCTTTTTTTTTAATCCCTAGCCTCAATCCATAATACTGGAATATTAAATGTAAATAGCAGAGGATTTATAAGCAATGGTGATTATCTGGTAGGCTAATGTTTCTTTTAGACTCCTTTCAGTCCTTATCCCTAGCCTCAATCCATAATACTGGAATATTAAATGTAAATAGCAGAGGGATTTATAAGCAATGGTGATGTATCTTTAGGCTAATGTTTACCCAGATGCCATAGACTCCCAGTCCTTGTTAGCCTCAATCCATAATACTGGAATATTAAATGTAAATAGCAGAGGGATTTATAAGCAATGGTGATGTATCTGGTAGGCTAATGTTTACCCAGATGCCATAGACTCCCAGTCCTTATCCCTAGCCTCAATCCATAATACTGGAATATTAAATGTAAATTTTTTGATTTATAAGCAATGGTTTGTATCTGGTAGGCTAATGTTTACCCAGATGCCATAGACTCCCAGTCCTTATCCCTAGCCTCAATCCATAATACTGGAATATTAAATGTAAATAGCAGAGGGATTTATAAGCAATGGTGATGTATCTGGTAGGCTAATGTTTACCCAGATGCCATGACTTAGTCCTTATCCCTAGCCTCAATCCATAATACTGGAATATTAAATGTAAATAGCAGAGGGATTTATAAGCAATGGTGATGTATCTGGGTCTCCTAATGTTTACCCAGATGCCATAGACTCCCAATCCTTTCCCTAGCCTCAATCCATAATACTGGAATATTAAATGTAAATAGCAGAGGGATTTATAAGCAATGGTGATGTATCTTGTAGGCTAATGTTTACCCAGATGCCATAGACTCCCAGTCCTTATCCCTAGCCTCAATCCTGGAATATTAAATGTAAATAATACAATGGAATATTAAAGATGCCATAAATAGCAAACTGGGATAAATTAAAAGCAGAATGGTGATGTATCTGGTAGGCTAATGTTTACCCAGATGCCATAGACTCCCAGTCCTTATCCCTAGCCTCAATCCATAATACTGGAATATTAAATGTAAATAGCAGAGGGATTTATAAGCAATGGTGATGTATCTGGTAGGCTAATGTTTACCCAGATGCCATAAGACCCCAATCCTTGTAACCTAGCCTCAATCCATAATACTACTGAATATTAAATGTAAATAGCAGAGGGATTTATAAGCAATGGTGATGTATCATTCTTTAGGCCATAGACTCCCAAGTTTCCATTTCGTTGTAAATAGCAGAGGATTTATAAGCAATGGTGATGTATCTGGTAGGCTAATGTTTACCCAGATGCCATAGACCCCAGTCCTTATCCCTAGCCTCAATCCATAATACTGGAATATTAAATGTAAATAGCAGAGGATTTATAAGCAATGGTGATGTATCTGGTAGGCTAATGTTTACCCAGATGCCATAGACTCCCCAGTCCTTATCCCTAGCCTCAATCCATAATACTGGAATATTAAATGTAAATAGCAGAGGATTTATAAGCAATGGTGATGTAACATGTAAGTGGCTAATGTTTACCCAGATGCCATAGACAACCCAATCCTTATCCATTAGCCTCAATATATATATAATACTGGAATATTAAATGTAAATAGCAGAGGATTTATAGCAATGGTGATGTATCTGGTAGGCTAATGTTTACCCAGATGCCATAGAACCCAATCCTTGTCCCTAGCCTCAATCCATAATACTGGAATATTAAAATGTAAATAGCAGAGGGATTTATAAAGCAATGGTGATGTATCTGGTAGGCTAATTACAGATGCAATTTACCCAGATGCAATAGACACCAATCCTTGTCCCTAGGCTAGCCTCAATCCATAATACTGGAATATTAAATGTAAATAGCAAAGGGATTTATAAGCAATGGTGATGTATCTGGTAGGCTAATGTTTACCCAGATGCCATAGACTCCCAATCCTTATCCCTAGCCTCAATCCATAATACTGGAATATTAAATGTAAATAGAAGAGGGATTTATAAGCAATGGTGATGTATCTGGTAGGCTAATGTTTACGCAGATGCCATAGACTCCCAGTCATTGTCCCTAGACTCAATCCATAATACTGGAATATTAAATGTAAATAGCAGAGGGATTTATAAATAGGCTAAGCAATGGTGATTTATCCTATTATCTGGAAATGTTTAGATGCAATAGAAAATCCTTGCAGCTGAATTTAAATGTAAATAGCAGAGGATTTTCCCTTTAATGTCCCCAGATGCAATAGACCCAATCCTTGTCCCTAGCCTCAATCCATAATACTGGAATATTAAATGTAAATAGCAGAGGGATTTATAAGCAATGGTGATGTATCTGGTAGGCTAATGTTTACCCAGATGCCATAGACACCCAATCCTTATCCCTAGCCTCAATCCATAATACTGGAATATTAAATGTAAATAGCAGAGGGATTTATAAGCAATGGTGATGTATCTGGTAAATTAATGTTTACCCAGATGCCATAGACTCCCATGTCCTTATCCCTAGCCTCAATCCATAATACTGGAATATTAAATGTAAATAGCAGAGGGATTTATAAGCAATGGTGATGTATCTGGTAGGCTAATGTTTACCCAGATGCCATAGACACCCAGTCCTTTATCCCTAGCCTCAATCCATAATACTGGAATATTAAATGTAAATAGCAGAGGGATTTATAACAAATGGTATGTATCTCTAGGAATATTAAGATGCAATAGAAATATCCCCAGCCAATCCAGAAATATTAAATGTAAATAGCAGAGGGATTTATATCAATGGTGATGTATCTGGTAGGCTAATGTTTACCCAGATGCCATTTGTTCCCAATCCTTATCCCTAGCCTCAATCCATAATATATGGAATATTAAATCATTAAATAGCAGAGGGATTTATAAGCAATGGTGATGTATCTGCTTTGGTAATGTTTACCCAGATGCCATAGACTCCCAATCATTGTCCCTAGCCTCAATCCATAATACAATCCATAAGAACTGAATATTAAATGTAAATACAGAGGGATTTATAAGGAATATTAAACAATAGAGGGATGGCTTTGAGTATCTGGTAGGCTAATGTTTACCCAGATGCAAGAACATCCTTCTTTGAATCTTTATCCCAGAGGGCCTACAATGGTGAATCTGTAGGCTAATACTACCCAGATGCCATAGATAACAGAAACCACATACTAAATAGCAGAGGGATTTAACAGTTAAAATGGTGATGTATCTGGTAATGTTTACCCTTAATGTTTACCCAGATGCAATAGACACCCAATCCTTGCTACAAGAATCCTTAATGTTCAATCCATAATACTGGAATATTAAATGTAAATAGCAAAGGGATTTATAAGCAATGGTGATGTATCAGTATAGCACCCACCAATACATTATTCCTTGTCCCTAGCCTCAATCCAAAATACTGGAATATTAAATGTACTGCAAAGGGATTTATAAGCAATGGTGATGTATCTGGTAGGCTAAAAACCCAGATAATAAAAACCTAATACCTGTATCTAAATTTGGACTTCTTAGGGCCCCCCCAAACTCAGTACTTAAAATAGGATAACACAACCTACACCAATTGTATCTTTTCTTTGCTTTAATAATGAAAAAATGTTTTGAATTCCAGGCGATTTTAAAAATTTGAAAATTCTTCCAAACTTACTTTATTGTCATTTACTTCCAGATGGTTCAAGAATGGTAAATTTCCAAAATTCTCTGGAAGACGTTGCAGACAATTTCTTGATAATAAACATAATTCCAAAGACTGAAGTTGGCAGAAAGAATCTGGTAATGTCTCCAGACTATTATGAACTGAAAAAAAAAAAAAAAAAAATGGGTTGAGATATGAAGATTCTGGAAGTGATTTTCTGGCACATCAACAATTACATAATGGTCATGTATTAATATAGAATTCTTATTAAGAAATAATACTGAATAATGTTACATTTATTTAGTAGATTCAGGCCAAAAATTGAGTTCTTCAAATCACAAACTCTGCAGTCCTGGGTATGACGATAAACTACATCAAACTATCCTGGGCAAGACGACCCATTATGAATGTACAAGTCCCTCTGATCAGGAGGTTTTGAGGAGCGTGGAACCACCTCTTAATTGCTGGTGTTCCCAGGTCCACCCTGACGCAGGGTGGTGGCACCTGTTAAGGTCCTAACTATGGGCAAATAGCCCCAAACTGGGGGTAAAACACTATGTAAGTGTAAAAATAGGTTTTAATACCAGAAATACTTTGTAAAAATAAAAAAAAAATAAACAATTATAACCAGCTATCCATTTTTGAAGAAAAAATATTACCAGAAATAAAAATTTTATCAGCATTAAATAACCCATTGAGGTTGATATGCCGTAAAACAAACCAAATCTGCAGAACTTCAAAATCTCACGTCACGAAACTTGATTATTTGTCAGCAGGCTATGTTTATTTTTCATTTCTGTGCAAATTTTCTACAGAAATATTACAGATTAAGAATGAGGACCACATAGAAATGTACAAAACAAGACAAGTGACAAGAGATGTCAATACCAATCTATTCTCCAGGCAAGATGTGAATGTTGCACTACCAATGATGTTAATGGAAAAAAAGAGTAAAGCTCTACTTTAGAATACTCTCATCTGATTGTAAGTAAAAAAATGTCATTCACAGATAAAGAAAGACATGAATATGGTAACAATCAGTGGGTAGGACTCATACATGTTGTAGAGTTGTGACCAGCAATCTTAGTTTGGACAATAGGAAATCTTGAAAACATGGCCCTTCATACCCACTAAAAACAGAGTTTGAAAAGGACAGTCTTTCCTTGACACTGCTATTATTATTTTAACTACCTTCACTCCTCAGCAATGTTTATTGTTTTAAAAAGCGATGATTTGAATTGTAATAAAATGTAAACATCTGATGAAAGTGAATTTATACATTTCTTTTGTTCTTGAGAATTGACAACAAAAATATTAAACATTTATTGTTTATTTACAAGAATAATTTTATATTTACAACATTCTAAAAACTAATACAATTAAAACTAATGCAATGAAATATTTATCATTTACCAATTTATAAAGAAATAAATGTGAAAACAATTTTTTATTCATAAATTTATAAACATTTACTAAATCATTTACCATTTTATAGAGTTCAAATTAACTGGCAATTAGCCAACGTTTTGCCAATCATTCCAGTAAATAATCTAATAAATAAATAGTGTAAATAAATAAATATTGTTTATTATTTTTCTTGACAATTCTCAAGAACAATGAAAATGTATAAAGTCACCTTCATGTTCAGATTTTATAACAATTATAATCATTTTTTAAAACAATAAACATTGCTGAAGAGTGAAAGTAGTTAAAATAAAAATGGTGCCATGGGAAAAATTGTCTTTTTGACACACACACAAAAAAATTTATCCATTATGGAATTTTTTCCTTTATGTTATAATGCCATGATCATGCACACGTTAAAATGTGAAAACAAATTCAAGCTACAGATCTTAGAAGCAATTTATATTAAAAATTAAAGCCAGCCCTGTACAGAATTAACTCTGAATACTGCAATAATGTTCTGAAATGCCTATAAAGGAACAGTTTTTCATGCTTCAATGCACACATGACCATGATGTTATAATATAGAGAAAAAAAAAATTCCATAATGGATAATTTTTTCATGTTCTAATGAAAGCTCAGCAGATTGTCAACCGTTTGCATTTAAAACCATAATGAAAAAAGTTATGGTAATGGATAACAATGCAGAGCTTTGTATGAATACTTGTACACCTGAACAACATATAGTTTTGTACTCCTTGCACCCCTGAAGATGATCTTAGAAAAAGATTGAAAGTACTTGGGAAATGAAAATAAAAGAAATTTAAAGTTATAGAACATTTCTCTCATCCTTTAATATCAGATACATGGAAGATTATTCGTGAATATGAACGAATTTTGTTAAAAATTAGCAGACATAATGTCTGTAATTTATTCACTCAGATTTTTATATATATATATATATATGCACACACACAGAGAATAAAATCCAAATTTACCTCATATGAGGAATAGTTTATTTCGAACAGCAGCAAAAATATATTTCATCAGTCTTATTCAACCGTGAGTTCATATCGGAAATAGAAAATATTTATTTTAAACATTATTAACTACTAAATTTTCAAATTACCTATAGTGTTTCTTAGTAGCTATGTTTCTGTAATTTTTTTCAGTTGTTCTGATGATGTTCTTATTGGCAACAGAATAAAACATTTAAACCTCCAACTGCTTTTTATAAATTCCATCTCACAAAGTAAATACAACTACATATATATATATATATATATATATATATAAAATAAAAAGGCTTAAACACTAATATTCCATGGTCATAATTTATTCCATTGGAATCGTAAATACGATCCAATTCATCAGACCTACAAATTCAAAAAGAAAACAGAAAAAAACAACTCCGGAAATAAAAATAGAATTTAGAGAGAGTTATTATATCCTTACTCTGTCCTGGACATTGAGTTCTACTTGGATTCTATCCTCTTGGAATTTTTTATTCAAAAAATATATATGTATGTGTATGCATCTATGTATATATATTTACCACTAATATTATATATATATATATATATATATATATATATATAATGATATAATATATATATATAAAACAAAGAACTTCTTGGTGCCAATCTTACTTGAGAATGACTGCAAAAACAAGCCCTACCCAAAATTTATAAACAAAACATACAGATGCATGCTGGGATTTATTCTTAACCAGTAAGATAGGCCACTTCTTGGTCTTCTCAGTTTTATTCTTTCTTTACTTGAAGACAAAATGCTGTGATCGCTTATCTGTAACCCCTTTTGTATGTTAATACTATTATTATTTTGTGAACCATTTGCCTTAATTACTCTTGCTTTGCGTTAATTACTGTTAGTTTGCCTTGCATATATTGTTTGCTCAATATTATTTTTTGTCCTCTTCCTTTTTCTTTCTATTATTTATTGTCAATTTTGTTTGTTGGGCATTTACATTTAACCATGGTTAATTAGTCTATAAAACAAAAGCATATTTTGCCTGCTAGCCAATCATGACCATTTGGGGTGGAATTCTTACAGAATTTTAGGGCTTATTTCATATATGCACACGCAAAGTCAGTAGATGCCTCATATGGAAAAAGTTTAACAAATGAACCTACAAAAAAAAAAAACCCTAGTTCAGAAAGACAGCTTTTTGTCTTAACTCTGCTATTACTGTATACTCCCCTCAGCAACTTTTATCGTTATAAAAAGATATTTTTAGAATTCTAATAAAACCAAAACATGAAAGAAGATTTATACACTTTTTTTTTTAAATTCATAATTCTTGTTACTTGTATTTACGTACATTTACTTAGTAATATATTTACATACATTTACCTAGTAATCTTACAAACACACATCATGTAAATATAAAATTATTCTTGTAAATAAACAATCTTATAAATAAAATTATTTAATATCTTTATCTTTCTATATTTCTGAGATGAGGTATTATGTACACTATTTACATTATTCAGACTATTGTCCTCATCTTTGTCGCCATGTTTATTACAACGTTTTGGCCGTTTCAATTCAACATTCCAGTCACCTGAAGAAGGCTGGAGCATACAATGGCCAAAACGTTGTAATAAACATGACAATAAAGATGAGGACAATAGTCAGAATAATGTAAATAGTTTAACATCTTTGTTGCGAGATCTTGAGAAAAAAGAAAATGTATAAATCCAGTTTCAAACATTTGGGTCTTATTAAAATTATGAAAATAGCTTTTCAAAACAATAAAAAGTTTTGAGGAATATAAAATAATAACAGAAGTACCTTCCTTTTATACAGTACCTTTTGCAGGTATATTTGTGAAACTTTGTCCTTCTTGTTTTAACTGTGGCAGATACAGTGTATATACGAACATATTTTAATAGGTAACTACCTGCATATCTTGAAAACGTTTTGATTTATTTACTTACCCAGATTAATCATCCTTAAGCTTTTCAGGTCTCCAAAGTTATTTGGAAGACTTTTTAATTGATTTCCATCCAGACTTAATAAAGTCACTTTACTCAGCTGACAAAAACTATTGGGCAAGGAGGTGAGGAAGTTTCCAGTGGCCCACGGTTTCTTTTGGTTGTCAAATGGATTTCTGCCAAGATTCAAGCAGGACAGTTCCGTGAGACCATCAAAACTATCAGCCAACATAGACAGTTTATTCTCACAGAGATCAAGCATCTGCAACCTTGTGGCCACCTTTCCAAAAGTTTTAAAATCTAACCAAGCTGAAATCTGGTTTTCCCCAACATGTAATTCTTGAAGGCTCCTCGCTCGAACCAACCAGGAAGGCATAGTTTTTAGGAGATTCTTCTGCATGTAAACCCGGCTAATTGTTTCCGCTGATTTGAAAACAGCAGGTAGAGATTGTAGGAAGTTGCTAGACACATCAAGTGTGTCCAGTTTTTCCAGATCTGAAACACCATCTGGTAGAGATTTCAATAAGTTGTCATTAACAACAAGCAAGGACAATAATTTCAATTCTTTAATACTCTGGGGAAGACTCGACAAACAATTGAATTCTGCTTGCAGGGAATATAACCGTTGCAACTGTCCAATGGATTCTGGCAGTTCTTCCAGTTTATTTTGGCTAACATTTATGACTTCCAGGCTGACAAGACGGTTCAATTCGGGGGGCAGTGTGGTCAAGTTACACGCAACAAGTTTCAAAGCCGTCACACCGTAAATGAAGAATTTATTTCCCAAATTTTCTATGCAGTGGTTTAACAAGTTCTTTAGGTCTCTAACTGATTCAATCACAATATCTTCATGTTGTTCAAAACCATTAGTTTTGATGCCACAAGTCTCAGAATCTTGATTCTGACAGTGAGAAATGTTATCTATGCACAGACCTATAAGTTTCTCTTGGATTGCCTTTGCAGTTGTGTCTCCTTCACCATATCCCACTGTCAACAGCTGATCCTTCAGTTTATTGTCTTTTGGTTGTAAGGTACCTTTCGATGTCTTGTGTCGAGATTTCTGGTTAAGTGGTTCCAAATCCTTAGAGTTCTTGGTTTTGCCACTTGCAAGACTTTTCTTGGAATGTGAGGATCGACCTCGTTTCTTCTTGACTTGATTCTTCAAGGACTCCGTACCATCAGCTTCTTTGCTTGTTCCATTCATTGTCAGCAGCCACAGAAACGTCCTGGAAAATATATATTTTTTTTTTAAATATAGAAAAAATTGTGATAATAAAATAAGATGAAAAAATGAAAATAGCCACGAACCACAAGGGATATGTTCCAAAACCCAAGACCCGCCAATCCTGCAGAGGTTTGAAATCATAATCAGTACTGTAATCAAAAAAGAAAAGACAAGGAGAAAAGGAGATATTGGACAGGTTTACATTAGAATAAAAAAGTCAGGCATGAGTTTAACTTGCAATAGAGTAAAAATGGCTGGTACAGGTAAAGAGTACATTAGATTTTAAACAGCAGGTATGGGTCCAGTTTACACTGGAGTTGAATAGGTAGCCATGGGTCCAGGTTTACACTAGAGTTGAAATGGCAGGTATGGGTCCAGTTTACACTAGAATCAAAAAGGTAGACATTTGTCTGCTTCATATTGGAGTCTGTTAATATTCAACCAGTATTCTCATTTTGGTGGTAGTTTTACCACTCAACATGAATACAGTTGGCATATTCTATGCTCCATCAGCAGAGCAAATATCGAAATATCAAATTGACACATGGCACAGTGGATAAAGGCGTTGGTTAGATCCAGTGACAGGACCCAAAGAGTGTTAGTTCAATACCCAGTTAAGGCAATGGAGAACTTTCAGAGGGGAATTAACAGGAGATAGCTGATAACTGACATCCATTAAAATATGGCACGTGGAACTAGAACAGTCTACCCCAGTGAGTGAAATAAAGGGTTCAGTTCGACATTCCAACCACCTGAAGAAGGCCGGAGCATACAATGGCCGAAATGTTGTAATAAATATGGTGACAAAGATGAGGACAATAGTCCGAATAATGTAAATAGTATCAAATTGACACATGCGGATGATTATTCTTTTTTTAGAGAATAACCCACCCAGAATATCTTTATTCCAAACACTTCTTTCATTAGTTATTCAGGAAATTTTCTCCCAGCCAATTTAGGCTTAAGAAAGACGTCGTTGGAGTAACGATGTTCTCCAAAAATATAGTGCTCCCAGCCTGTCAATTTGGAACTCAAAAGGTACCTGAATGAAGATAATTATAGAATGGTTCACTCAAAAGATAAGAGACATCAAGATCTTAAAAAACAGCTTAAGGGAAATTGACAATGGATGATTTTAAAAGATGGGGTCAGAATATCAAGGAACATCATAGCCAAGACTGCAGATTGACCTTCAACTTGAATCAGTTTAAAATTTAATTTCATTAAAAAGTGAGTCTAATATTCTCAAATTAGTCTTTAATTTTTAGAGATTTTTTTTTCGGGTGTAAAATTCTTCATAAAAAAAAAAATAAAAAATAAAAAAAAAAGCCAAAAAAGTGATTTTTTTTCTCTTTCTAATGTGGGTATGAAACAAAAACTTGAAAATTTTCGCGAAATAGATAAAATATTTTTTTTGTTTTTTTTAATTTGACAATTTTAGTTGGACATTTTAGGTACTTACAAAAAATAACTTTACACAAAAAATTCATATGAAAATAGAAAAAAAAATCATTAATCAGTTTCCAATAATAAAAAAAAAATTTTAAAATAAATTATTTAAAGGATTTTCCAAAGATTTAGATACAGTCACCTAAAAATTTAAAAAAAAACAAAGTCGTTTATAAATTAAAAAATAATTTCTAAAAAAAAAAAAAAAAAAAAAAAAAAAAAAAAAAGAAATTACTTAAAAATTAAATTGAAAAATATTTAAATAATTTTTTTTTCAACCTAAAATATAATTTAACTTGAAAGCAAAATAAATTAATGTATTTGAAAGATTGAAAAAAAAAAAAAAAAAAAAGGAACTTTCATAAAATATTTTTCTAGTCATGTAGTAACTAATTTTTTTTACTTAAACTATTTCGGTATAAATGTCAATACCCGAGATTTAAAATAAATGAGTTTTAAAAATCTCTAAAAAAATAAAATGTATATTTGTGAAACTTTATTTGATAAATATTAGCTGATTTAAAGTTTAATTAAGCAGATTTGAAAAAAAAAAAAAAATACTTAAGTAAAAAAAGTTTAAGATAAGAGAGAAATGGAAAACAAAACAGAATCTTTTGTTTCTGGTTTTTGTCTGAAATAAAAAAAAAAAAAATGAGGTAGAAAAAGAAACAAAAATAATCTGTTTCTTTTTATAAACATGAATTTTTTTTTATTTTATTTACGAACAAACACAAAAATTTAAATTATTTACTTTGAAATGCCAAAAAAAAAAAAACAAAAAAAAAAAAAAAATTTTTCTTCAAATAATTGACCTAAAAATACCAGATATGGTAGAAAAAACTGGAATTCCTTGGTTTCTATCCAAAATAATTCATCACTTTATTTACTTTTTTTTTCTGTCAATATTCTTGCATTGAAGAAAGTAAACTTTCCATTTTTAAAGTATGTTTTAGCGCTTCAAACGATTTTCCGTAACAATGAATTCTTTTAAAACTAATTTTCCGTAAGTAAAAATGAGATTTAAATCAACATTTGACTAAAAAAGTCCAAGAATTTAAATAAAGAAAAAAGTAAATTAATAATGAAAGGGTCGATTCTCTACAATCTACATGGATCGTAAATTGATTGGAAAAAAAAAAATTACTGCAAGGGAGATAAATCAAAGTTAAAAAAAACAACCATTTGAAACGCTAAAACCAACAATTCGTCATTAAAAAAGAAAAAAAGAAAAAAAAGAAATAAACGGAAGCATGTTGTTACAATAACGAAAATTTGATTTGACATACCAAGTTCCCTTATTCGTTTACTTGTAAAATCGTTGACACGTTTTTTAAGGACGAAACCTTATTAAGAAGGAAAAAAAAATAAACATTTTTTAATTTTAAAATAATTAAAATTAAAAACGATATCTTTCAATTAAAGACCAAAAAAAAAAAGAGACAATTCAGTTAAATTCAGTTTTCAACCTAAAACAAAAATACAAGAACTACGATTATTTACATCGCTTCATATTACGCGCAGAATATTAAAAAAAAAAACAGAATTTAGTTTTTATAAAAGAATAAATATTTTTAAAAAAATTATAAAATGATTTTTCCTTTTTGCAAGCTTTTTGAATAAGAATAAAAATAAAATAAGTCAAGGCTAAATACATTTTTTTTAATTATTTAAAAAGAGACAGTTAAGACAAATTATTATTGTAATAATGGATAGTAAACAATATTAATTGAACAAATGATATTAATTTGATTATTTAAAAAGAAAAGAAAATATTTTAAAATAAATTTTCTTAATAAAACGAACTGAAAACTTGCAATATGGAGCGAGGTAAAAAGAAAACAGAGGACGGAAGAAGAAGATTGAACCTGTAAAAATAATGCCAGAAAACTAGATTAAATACCCAACATTAAATAATTTTATGGTTTCTTTTCTCTCGAAGATTCACGGTCGACTTTTTCTATTCATCCATAAGGAAATAAAATCCAAAATCTTAGAAACTTGTTTTTGATTTTCTCTATCAAAAGGAAAATATTTTACTCGACACCAAAATCTCCATAAAAAAAATCTAGACATGAGTAAAAATAATAGAAATGCCAATTTTCGTACAAATTATTAAATATTTTCAAGGTTTCGGTTTTTTTTTTTATTTGTCTGCCAATTTTAAGTTGAATTTTTAAAACCTTTCATTTAAATTTATCGGCTGTTAATTATTTAAAAAAAAAAAAAAAAACTAAAACAAAGCATAAAGCACTTGTTAAGTTTTTTTTAGCCACGTGCTTGTCGGTAAAAAAAAGAACAAAAAACGATTTGACTCTGACAAAAAAATTAAGCGAATTCCTACA